CACACCAAATCTCATGTATTCAGAAGTGGGGCATTTGTAATGTAATTAGATGATATGGTGCTATACTCATCAGTCGGAGCTCATGGCTGAATGTGCTCTTCATAGCGGGGGCCTGGTTGGAGGTGGGTCACAGTGGATGTGACCTGGAAGGGTATATTCTTGGCTTCTGTGATGGGTTGAGCAGCTTTTTTGAACTATGCTCCTCTACTGTGCTTTTTCTTTTGAAGCCAACCAATCATGCACTGAATTCTCTGAAACATGAGCCAAAATAAACCTCTTCTTTAAGTTGCAGGTATTGGATATTTTGTTCCAGTGATGAGAAAGTAACTAATACTGAAAACTGGTACTAGGGATGGGGTAGTTGCTATTACTGCACCTGACCATGTGTTAGAAGACTTTGGAATTGGTTTATGGGAGGAGTTTGAAAAGGTTTGAAGATTTGGGGTAGAGAAGTCATGGATTGCTATAAGCCCAAATTGGCAGGTGATACTGGTAGGAGCTGATAAATATAGAATACTATTAGGAATACAGACAATAAAGGCTGGGGATTTAGCTCAGCCACCTGCCTTGCAAGCACAAGGACCCAAATTCCATCCCTGCTATAAAAAAAAAAAAAGGAGGAATATAGACAGTAAAGACCAGACTTAGGAGGTTCCATTTGGGAATAGGACTCTACTGAAAACTTGGTGGGAGACCATGTGTAATACACTTTTTTTCTTTTTCTTTCTCCACCCCCCGCATACCAGGGATCTAACTCAGGACCTTTATCTTGTGAGGCAGGTGCAGTGCCACTGAGTGAAATTCCCAGCCCAATGTGTGATACACTCTTGCAAAGAGATTGTACACAGTTTCCCTATGACCTGAGAGGTTTCAAGAGACTGAGATTAGGGATAGTGGATTAACTGATCTGGCAGAGGTAATTTCAATGCAGCCCAATGTTCAGGTTTTGTCATGGGTACTACTGGATGATTTTTAACCAGATCTACAGTAAGATGCAGGAGCATAAACAGGTATGAAGCATTCTCAGTTTCATCAGCAATTAAGAACCCACAAGAAAAGCTAGCTTACTGAAAAGATTAACATTAAAGAGAACCCAAGTATTTTACATCAGGACAACAGGCAAGAATTTACAATGGCACTAGAACTCTTAAGAGTCTGGTAACTTTTAGAGATGGATTAAATGCATTTTGCATAATGAGATGGGCATTAGCCCTTTGGAGGCCAGATGCAGAAGTTATGTGTTACATGTAAAATGTCCCTGTCTTCATTACTTTCCTTGTTGCTGAGATAAAATAACTGACACCCACAAGTTAAAGGAGGAAAGGTTTATTTCAGCTCAGTTTGTAGAGATTTCAATCCATAGTTGGCTGGCTACAAGGCAGGGTGTCATGGTCAGGGAGCATCACAGAGGAGTTGCCCATGGCATCTTGTCCATAGCAAGCAGGCAGAAGACTGAAGCAGGCAAGCAACAAGCAGCAGTAGCAGCAGCAGCAGCAGCCCACTTTCCCTCTCTCTCTCATATTCCATCCAGGCTATAAGCCCATTTACTAATAACCAGGGAAGGGTTTCCATTACCACACCCTTAATCCCAGTATCACACTCAATCCAAATTCACACACATAATCCAACTACCTTCAAAACTCCCCACCTATGACCTCATGAGGCTTTGAGGGCACATCTAGATATAAGCCATAACATTCTGCCCCAGCCACTAAAAGATTCATGCAAATCTGTTTATGCAAAAGGCACTTAGTCCATTTCTAAGAGTTGTTAAAGTTCTAACAGTTTCAGCATTGCTAAAACATCCAAGTCCAAAGGCTCCTCTGAGATTTAAGGAAAATTCTTACCTGTGATCCCCCTGTGCAAATGAAAAGAAACTTAAACACTTCCAATGTGACATTCTATTCAATGGCACAAGATAAATATTCTCATTCCAAGTAGAAGGATAGAAAGGAATGGGACAAAAGCAAGTCCAAAATTCATCAGGGCAAACATGATGTCCTGTAGTTTCATACCCAGCATCTGGGCAATCTGTGACAAGAAATCAATTCCAAACAGCTTGTGTAGCTCCATCCTTACAACACTGTGGATGGTTGCAGCTTTTATGGATTCTCTCTTGGTCTGGCTCTGCTCACTTCTTGCAATTTTCCTCAGATGATACATGTTCCTGGCTTCTCCAAACTTCTGGAGTCTCCACTTCATCTCTGGATTCACATTCACAGCTTCACACACTGTCCTCTCCCATGGCACATTGCCTGGCCTCCACGTTCTTTTGAAATCTGGGTAGAAGCTTTCCTGACCCCACAGCTATTGAGTACTTCATGCATGTAAAACCAACACCACATGGATGATGCCAAGGTCTGCTGCCAGCTAAAGCAGTGGCCCATTTCCTTCTCTTTTGGCTGTAGGTGTTGAGTGTCTGGACTGCTGAGCACTAGGAATCAAATCCCAAGAAGCAAATTTCTTAGGCTTATGCCATACTGGAACATAATGCTCTGGGTTCTCTTCTCAAAGGAAAGTCTTTCACCTTTGCAATTTTGAGACTGCAAAGGCTGGAGTTCTGCTGGTTCTTGTGATGTCCTCAAGCCATCTTATCTAATGTCCTGTTCCTTCTCAGCAACTAAGTTCTTTGCTCTATCTCTGCAATCTGCAACTTTACTAGAGCTTCCTTTCTGGCCAAACTCAAAACATTTTAAATCATTCTGCTAGGTCCTTTGCTCTTGATTCTCAGCATAAATCTGGCTTAAATCCCCCAATGCTAGCCATGCTCAATATAAGGCTGCCTTGGAATTTCTTTGACCAGATTAGTCTGCCACACTTAATCTCGGTTTCAGGCAGTCTCTGGACAAGAGCAAACTACAGACAAAATTTTTGCCAAAGTACAGACACAAAAGATCTGGAGTCCAATAAGCAATGTAATCCTTCTTCCCAGTAGAAATCTCCTGAACCTGGTCTTTACCAGCAGCATTTCCATCAGCATTCTGGTCTTCTGAGTTCTGACCAGAATCTCCTATCGAGTTCAATTTATGGTATTCCAGGGCTGCTTATTCATCTGGCATTCCCAAACCTTTCCACACTCTTCCTGCAAACCAATTCCAAAGGCTCTTGACTCCAAAAAGTCTCATATATTCAAAGGTGGAGCTATTGTAAGGTGATTGGATTATGGGGGCACTATACTCAGTACTCATCCACTGATAAATTCATGGTTAAACATGCTGTTAGGGTTTAATTGGAGGTGGGTCACTGAGGGTATAACCTGGGGGGTGTATTCTTGTACTAGCTTGTTTCTCTTTCCTCTCTCTGCTTTCTGGCTTTGGTGGGTTGAACAGCTTTCCTCTGCCATGCCACTTTGCCATGCCATTTCTGCCTTAGAGCCAAATGACCACAAATTGAATCTTCTGAAACAGAAGCCAAAAATAAATCTCTTCTCCTTTAAGTTGTGGGTGTCCAGTATTTTGTCCTAGTGATCAGAAAATGACTAAGACAACAGCTGATTTCAAGGTGATAGTAAAAGAGGTAGAAAGAATGCAAAGTTTACATCAGTAAAAGAAACAGAAAACAGCTATCTCTCATATTTAAAAAATGTACTAAGTATTTACTATGTACTGGTATTTTCTAATTCCTTATATTATTACAGCAAGTCTCAGGTACTATTATTATTCATATCTGATTTTCATCTTTATTTTTAATCATCTTTAATTTTTAAATATTTTCACTTTATTACAAATGCAGCTTACCTTATTAGTAAAATATTCACAATTATGGATTATAAACAATTTTTTTCAGCAGGGACACGTTGCTGGATGTCATGATTATTCTTATGTGGTTCTGGTAATTTCAATGAAATTTGTTTTGTGGTGCCCACTCTGTGGCATTTTTAGAACATTGTAAATCTTGTTAAAGCCAATAAAAATATAATTTCTGAATTTTTTAAAAGCAATCTCTCATGTCACTGGAGTCTCAAATCCTTTCTGTTTCTAATTTCTTCTTTGTTCAGTCCAAAAGGATTCAGATAAAAATCTTTTATCATTAAAGATAACATTTTTCTTTGTATTATCACTTGAAACAATTTAGAATATTTATAAAGCTATCAAGAAAATGTAAAATGTCAAAACACCATGAACATTTTAATGTTTTTCTTTTAAATATATGTAAGACCAAATTGTTAACTCTAGTTTATTTAACTCTTATTTTAAGGATAGTGGAGGAATTTCAAGTACTTTGAAGTACTAAGATATTCAAATTAAAATTTCAAATGCTTTCTCTGAGCTTAATCTATTTCTCTACAAGGTAACTTTGATAGGTCATGATAATAAGCAAAAACTTTACTAATTTGTCCAGTGGAGAATGAAAAAAATGCAGTGAAAATTACACAAATAGAATTTTGATATTTTTGCATTTTTTGATTTTTTTAATTTACACTGCTATACAGTTACTGTATATAAATAACCTATAAAAGTTTTAAAAATAAACCAGGCATGGTGGTGCCTACCCACAATTCCAGCACTTGGGAGGCTGAAGCCGGAAGATTACAGTGAGTTCAAGGCCAGTCCAAACTATATACAGAAACCCTGTGTGAAACAAACAAACGAAATGCTTAAAAATAGTTAACATTTTTTTTTAATGCTTTCTGTGTGCCAGGCACTATTTAAAGGCTTTGTTTATGCTAATTTACTAAATCCTTGAAACTCTGCAAGGATGAAACAATTGTTTATTCTCCAGTTACAAATAAGAAAACTTAGGGATCAAGAAGCTAAATAATTTGCTTAAAGTCTTCGTTCACCAAGAAAATACTCATGGCAAGCTAACATGGTATTTATTTGTTCACTGAGTTATTTTTTTGTTCATTGGGTTATTTATTTTGATGATAAACAAAGATACTGAATTAGGGCCTTGAAGATATATCTATCTTCATCTCAGGAAAGGAAATGATAGTTCCACACGATTTTTTTTTTTTTTTTTTTTTTTTGGCTAACAGCAAAAGAGATGATTTATTGAACAAAAATATGGAACACTTCACAAATCTGCATGTCATCCATGCGCAAGAGCCATGCTAATCTTCTCTGTGTCGTTCCAATTTTAGCATATGTGCTGCCAAAGTGATCACTGTTTTGTTTTTTTAAGACAGGGTCTCGCTGTGTAGTTTAGGCTGGCCTTGAACTCTCAGCCAATTTTCTGCTTCAGCCTCCTAAGTGCTGGGTTTAAAAATGTGCACTACCACATGACATTCTTGTAGATCAGGAAGGTACAGTGTGTGATTGAACACCTAGGAGAATCAGGCTGAATTCTTGAACTAAAAGGACAGAGTGGTGGATCAGGACCAAGGACATGGAGTTACTAAATGACAGAGATGAGGTCCAGACACAGCAGGATATCACCAGAGTCCGTATTTTACCACCACCCTAAAGTGCACCTATGAAGTACAGAGAAGAAAGGCAGCAAAACATCCAAAGGTCTCTGATTCTATGACCCAGTGATAACAACTGCCATCATGTTGGTAAACATACCTGAAGACCTCTTATGTGTGGCTTCCTGGAGCTGACAAAAAGTTTTGGAAGAAGGCATTACGATCTTACTTGAACATGAGGCCACAGGAGGCTTGTAAGGACTACTTCAAAGCCATTTCTCATCTCCCTGTCTCCCTGGAGGTGTCATAAGACAGTTTCATCTTCTCAGGAAATCTGTGTGTGATTACCAAGCAAGGAAGTTCATCTGAGCCTCCAGCCCAGAGTTGTAAGTGGAAATACTTCACATAGGCATAACAAATTAACTCACTGGCCATGTGGCTAAAATCAGTCTTTAGTTGCTCCCAATTTCTCCTCTGCTCCCCAGAGATTGGACTGATATCCCTTGGCACATCTCTAATGACACAGTTGGTTTCATAGTGTGACTTATATTTAAAACTCAGATATGGTCCATGGACTCACCATAAATAACAAAGAAACTCCTATCCCTTGGGAAATTCCAAGGATTTAGAGGATACCTCCAAGAAACCAGGAACAAGGCCAGCCAACTCTCTACTACATGGTATCCTCTTCTCTGAACACACAACTGTAGTCTACTCAACGTGTCCCACCACTCCTGTTGCATTGTCATCCAGACTTTTTTATTTCCTGTGTTGTCCTGTGGATGAGGGACATGTAGGTCGCCAGATAGGGTCCAGTGAGTTTCCTGAAGCTGAGATAAGGATGCTAACCCTATCCATATAATAAGTTTGCCGGTTCATTAACACCTTGTGCCAGAAAAAGAATTTTCAGCAATAGTCACTAAGAGGCACAGGAAGGCTTTATTAGCCAAAACTTAAAAGTACCCACCAAAGAAAAAGAGCACAGGGCCTCAAGAGAGAAACTGGGGCTTTTATGATTCTCTTTTGTGGAACCCCCAGGAGAAGGTGTCTCACCCACTGGAAAGGTATTGGCCCCTTTCACAGGTATGCTTCTGTGATGTGTTTTTTGTTTTGTTTTATTTTTTTAAGATAAGCAATTTATACCTTCTTTGAATTCTCTCAATCTGTTGCTTTATTTTAGAATTAGGTTCTTGCTCTACATTTTCTCAGTTAAGGCAATTAAGGACTTATAGTATTCCTAAAGAATTTGAGGTATAATGGGTGTGCAAGGAAAGGAGGCCCAGTTTATCCAAGTGAAGGTAGATATGGATCATCTTGGGTAACTTTGGCTGGGTCCTGGAAATTGCAGTCGTCTTAAAAGTACAATTTTTGGTTATACTCTATTTTGTCTCCTTTCTACTTATTTTACTTCTTCCATCTTACCTCAGGAGAACTGGCATGTTTACTGTGCTTACTTTTGTTAGCTGTATAAATAATAAACTGCCTAAATTTTAGAAGAGCTTGTTCTGGTCAAATCTGTTAGTCTTACTTGAACTATCATGTAGAGAAGAAAAATCCCAAGGAAATGCTGGGCGGGGTGGGGGGTTTGAAGTGCTTGATTTGCCCTAGCAATTTCAACTTTCACAAACATTCAAATGCAGCTTTTCAGCAGGCTTCAGTGTGAGAATGAAGAATAGAGGAAAGTGACAAAATAAACCGAGCGGTAGTAAAAAGACTGGCAAAACAGGAGAGGATGAATTCTCAGAAGGAGTCAGTGTAATAGTGAAGGACCATTGTGACATGAGCTCAGAGTGAGTTGCCAAAGATCTTTGAATAAAATATGGCTTTTTATAAAAAAGGGGCCTTATATCCACCTTCTTCTCAGATAAAAGTGTATTTTCTACATCATCCCCACAATTGGTCATACAGCTAGTTTCTACCTCCAAACAATCTACTAAAGGAAAGTTCAGAGCAACCAATTCTACTGATGTAGATCTAATCACTTGTCATCTTTCTCAGACCGAGATAAATCTGCCTTTTAATAAGTTTTATGATTGGTTCTTTACTGTCTCATGGAGCACATATTCACACAGCTGCCATCCATGCTTTGTGACAAACCATCATGTTTCCCCTTGATCTTGTGTTCAACATATTAAACATCTGCCTCCATGTGGGCTCGCATGGCCTTGTCTTGGTCTGCACTAACTCGGTTAATTGGCTATCTCATTAGTATTTCTCTTTAGTACAATATCCAGATCTGGTTTCATCAGTGGAGAGTACAAAGAAATGAGTGTTTTCAATGAAGCAGCTTTTTCCAGTTTTTTTCTTTTTAGAAATGTATTTTGTAAACTTAGAGTGTCTCCTTCCAAAAAAGAGAAGCGACAAGAAAATGAATATATATTAATGTATTCTACTATAACTGAACTTTAAACATTTATTTTTAATAAAATACTAAAATAATTTATTATTGAAAAACAATTTTATGGCAAAACATCCAAATGATACAAATGGTGCTAGGGAAAAGTTGTTTTTAAAAATCCCCCTCTGTAACTCTCAAATCTACACTCCTTAAAAGTTACCACAGTGTATCACATTCATCTAGAATTTTTTTATGTATAGTACCAGGCATCTTTTCACATCAACATTATGGGTATGCCTCATTCTTTTTAACAGCTGCATTGTATGGTGAGGCCATCATTTAACCAGTCCTCTCTTGATAGATTATACCTCTTGTGCTCCTTCCTCTTTCCATTTTAAAGTAAACAAAACATCTTTGTATGTGTTTCTTTGAACACTTGAAAAATGAAACTGTGGAATACATTTCCTGAAGTAGATTTTCTGTATCAAAACTTATATATTTCATAGGAAAATGGATACATATTGAAGATATACTCCTAAGTGAAATAAATAAGTCCCACATGTGTAAATACCAAATAGTTTCCCTGGTGTGAATATTCTGCAACAATGCATAAGATTCTAATAAGATTACTGACATTTAGAAATGGGAGGAAAGGAGCTAAAGGTGTAGGGAAGGTGTGATACGTAGGGGAAGAACAAAAAGGGAAAAGAAAAAAATGTGAGAGAATGAAAAGATGAAAATAAAGTGTTTGTAGATGGGGAGGGGAGGAGGGGGTGAAGGGAGGGCAGAGGTAAGGGGAAAAAAATGAGAATCAAGACTTGCCATGTAAAGGTACATGATCCCAACAATGAATGTAACTGTACTGTATCCCTAAAGGTACCAATAAACTCAATTAAAAAAAAAAACTTATATATACCTTCAAGAGCATGCCATTTTACATTTCCACTGTGCTTGTTCTTCCACATGCCACACTTTAAATTAATTGCTAATCTAATAACTGACAAATGGAGTATAATTGGACTAGATATCTCACATTTTCCCCTCCAGGTCTACCCTTTTCCCTGCTCTTTGCCCTAAGATGACAACCTGTAGTTCCTGGTGTGTCTGTTTTAAAAGATGAATGCTAGCGGGAGATGGTGAGGTGTGGAGTGGGGTATTTATTTTCTGGGCTGCCTGTCTGGGATAGGTTGGGTCTTTGTGGCTGTATTGAGCAAAGGACGCAGCTCCCTTTCCCCACAGCCTCCTCTCTCTCTCTAGGATCCAGTTGCTGTGTCCTCCTCCAATCCTTTTAGGCATAAAGAGTGCAGTCTGTCCTGCTAAGCCAAGTATTGCCCTCTCTCACTTATGGATTTCCCAACCCTTGCCCTACCTTTTTAAAGAGTAGCATCCTTATTAAGGACTCCTCAAAATACCTAATTTGAGCGTCCTGTTTCCTACTAGCGCTTGGTCCTGAAACCTCAGCCTAAAGAGACTCCCCAGCACTCCCAATGAGTTTATGAGCAATGTATACCATTGTTCTAAATCCTTTTGTTCTAGTTAGAGCAGATTTTGTTGTTTATTATAGGTAATTAGTTAAGAACTCTGACTCAATCAAATAATTTCTACCTAAGGATAACTGAAAATCTTAGCAATTCATTCATCCAATAAACATTATTGAGCACCCATTGTGTGCTAGAAATGGGGAAGCAAACCATATCAACAAAATTTTCCTTCAAGGGTGTATATCCTACAAATAAAGTAATGAATATATGCAATTATTTTAGACAGTGTTGACTGAATTATGAGAAAAATAAAACAAAGTGGAGGGTTAGTGATTATGGATATACAGATATTTTATAAAGAATGTTTGAAGATCCTCCTGAAGAGATGTAATTTAAGAATAAAACTAAATGATGAAGAATAGTGCACTATGTGACGATCTTGGACATCTATGTTTCAAGCAAAAGGAATAAAAAGGACTAAGGCCCTGTGGTGGCAACAAACCTGTCCTATCTGAAGAGCAGCAACAATACCAGAGTGGCTTGAAGATGTGTGGCTTTGCCTGCCCGACAGCCACTGTCCCTTTGTCCTTGCTGTAAGAGTTCTAATTTTGTTCAGTCACAGTGCTCAGACTCAGGGGGTGAGCCATCACTTTTGTACAACAATCATGAAAATCCTGTTCTTGAGTGTCACTGACCAACAAGACATGAAAGAACCTGAGAGGGCTCTTCTGAGATATTTTATCTTTGGTAAGAAACTGGCATAAAGGAAGTAATCTTCTCTGTGTCCTTTCCTCTTTTCTTGCCTTCAACGCTCTGTGTCTGAATGTGATACCTGGAAATACAGTGACCTAACAGCCTTGAAATACTAAGCCAGGTTTAAAGACAGCACATGCATGTGGTAAACTGAAAGGACCCTAATGACACCTTGGATCTTCAAAACA